GATCATCTGCACCTTTTATTAAGATGTTGTTTCCTCCCTCTTCTTCATCACTAATTAAGACAAGATCTAAAACCCACCCTTTGCAGGATCCCACCAGATCAGGGGTGGGCAAACTTTTTGGCCCAAGGGCCACATCAGGGTTGCGAAACTGTATGGAGGGCTGGGTAGGGAAGGCTGTGCCTCCCCAAACAGCCTGGCCCCCGCCCCCTATCTGCCCCCTCCCACTTCCCGCCCCCTGACTACTCCCCTCAGAACCCCTGACCCAGCCAACCCCCGCCCCCGCTCCTTGTCCCCTGACCTCCCCCTTCCAGGACCCCCCCTCCCCTAACCGCCCCCTGGGACCCCACCCCCTATCCAAACCCCCGCTCCCTGTCCTCTGACTGCTCCAACCCCGATCCACCCCCCGACCCCCAACTTCCACGCCTATCCAACCCCGTTCCCTGTCCCCTAACCGCCCCCCCCAGAACCCCAGACCCATCCACCCACCCTGCTCCTTGTCCCCTGACCTCCCCCTTCCAGGACCCCCACTCCCCTAACCGCCCCCTGGAACCCCAACCCCTATTCACCCCCTGACACCCGACTCCCACGCCTAGCCAACCCCCTGTTCCCTGTCCCCTAACTGCCCCTCCCCAGAACCCCCGACCCATCCAACTGCCCCTGCTCCTTGTCCCCTGACCGTCCCCTCCAAGGATCCCCCACTCCCCCAACCGCCCCCGGGACCCCATCCCCCCTATTCAACCCCCCCTGCTCCCTGTCCCCTGACTGCCCCCCGGTACCCCACCCCCTATCCAACCTCCCCATCCCCTGATTGCCCTGCCCCCTAGCCACACCCCCTGACAGGCCCCCCGGGACTCCCACACCTATCCAACCCCCCCCACCGTTCCCTGTCCCCTGACTGCCCCCCCCAGAACCTCTGCCCCATCCAACCGCCCCCTGCTCCCTGTCCCCTGACTGCCCTCCGCTCCCCGCCCCCTTACCATGCCGCTCAGAGCAGCAGGAGCTCGCAGCCCCGCTGCCCGGCCAGAGCCAGCCACACCGCCGTGCTGCCCGGCAGGAGTGGCGTGCCAGAACGCTGGCACGGCACGGCGAGCTGAGACTGCCGGGGAGGGGAGCGACAGCAGGGGAGGGGCCGGGGGCTAGCCCTCCCCGGCCGGGAGCTCAAGGGCCGGGCAGGACGGTCCCGCGGGCCGGATGTGGCCTGCGGGCCGTAGTTTGCCCACCTCTGCACCAGATGCTGCCTTCCCTTCATCCACCAATGTTCATCTGTCAAAAAAAGCCATTTTGTTATTGTTTGCTAGCTTAGCACCCAGAGACCTCAGGTGAGCTTGGGGTCCTGTTGTGCCAGATGCTGTACAGACTATAGTGAGACAGTCCAGGCCCCAAGAGCTTAGTCTGCATAGACACGACAAAGGGCAGGAAGGGAAACAGAGGCCCAGAGCAGCAATGACTTGCTCAAGGTCACACAGAGCTCATGACAGAGCCGGGAATAGAACTTGGCCATTTGTCTGGCAAGATCTATTATTTATAAAAACACTAACACTGCAGCTGAGCCGTAGCCGCATGTCTCTCTGCGGCTGCCTGTCTGTGCGTCATCGCTCTGCTTATCATGGTTTGTGTGTGAATGCATGTGTGTGCATATGCCTTCCTGCCTGTGCATGGTTCTACCCATCTGTATGCCTGTGTAGTTGCACCTATCTGTGTGCTTACGGGTCTGTGTCTCTGCACACCTTCATTCACGCCTGCATGAACATTCAAGTCTGTGCCCCTGCTTGCGGCACCCAGTCTCTCCATGCATGTGTCTGTGAAGATCCCACTGGAGGTCGGGGGCCATATAACAGCTTTACATTTTGCACGTGCACTAAGAACTGAACAGGCCACTCACAAAAGACAGTGAGAAGCTGTTTCCCTGGACACATCTGACTTGGGGGGGCAGGCATCCCTGAGTCAGCAACAGACCCCCCCCTCCTTGGGCATCAGTGTTACTGTGTCATTCACTTTGGGTTTTTCCCCCCTGTGTTGTGTGAATAGAAATATAATAAAGTGGTACTGAAACTGCATGTTGCAGTCTGGGACTATGCGCTGGATTCCTGCATGAGAGGGCTGAGCCCAGGGGCTGCTCGCTGTCAGCCACCTTCTGCACCAGCGTCAGGCTGAACCAGAAGCACGAGCTGGGATGATTTACGGCCCAGTCTAGCGGGCTGCAGTTTAATCTGGCAGCGGTTTCAGGTCGGTAAGCATGATAAAGGAAAGCCTGAATAGGGTGTGAAGGCCCTGTTGACAGACCTGTCTCCTGTCTCCCTCAAACACAGAGGCTTGTTACCCCCCACATGCTCCCTCCCCCTTTCATCTGTGTACATGCCCTCCTTCATGTAATGCAGACCTGTGTATATCGGGTTTCAGTGCCATTAACCTGGGCACACTCTACATGCACTTCATCCATAGCACCTTTCCCTGGTCCTCAAAGGAGCTCACAAGAACAATGCAAAGCAGCCTGTGCTCTTAAATGTGATGGTAACTGTTCTATTTATACAGAAACCCTCATGGTTTCTGTATAAATAGGGTTTTCACCAAGAAGGTTTGTGGTGATTGGACGTCCAACATAGAATCATAGACTATCAGGGTTGGAAGGGACCTCAGGAGGTCATCTAGTCCAAGCCCCTGCTCAAAGCAGGACCAATCCCCAGACAGATTTTTGCCCCAGATCCCTAAATGGCCCCCTCAGGGATTGAGCTCACAACCCTGGGTTTAGCAGGCTAATGCTCAAACCACTGAGCTATCCCCCCCCGCTCTAGGTGAGGTTTGAACTTACAACCTCAGCATTACTCCACACAACACTGCACTATATGTACCATGCACTAACCCATTGCACCACTGGGGCCCATAGTGAATGTCAATGAAAATTTGGTAGAATCAGAAGCTAAAATAGGAAAAGAATAGGTTAAAAATTACTTAGACACATTAGATGTCTTCAGGTAGGGTGACCAGATGAGAGACATGAAATATCAGGACACGGGCGGGGAGGGGGGCGCCGCTGTCGGAGCACCAAAAAAACGAGAGCCGGCGGCAGAGCAAAAAAAAAAAAGAGCCAAAGCATAGGAAAAATTGATGGGGGCTG